TTTTTTTTTTTTCTGTACCTGAATCCACACGCATCATACGTCATTTATTTACTGACGTTGTGGTTGCTGTCAGTTTGAGTTGTTCTGTATAGAGTTATTATCAATTTTTATTTCAGTTACTTTTTACGTTATTTCTAGTCAATAATTTTTTTCTTTCTGCCTATTTACAGAATCCTGGTCAAAAAAAGAAAAAAAAAAAAAGGTTTTCTTTTTTTTTCCTTCTTTCCGCGATTCTGATTCCGCAGTGTATTTGTTGTTGATGTGATGATCATCGGTGCAGTTAGTTCCATTTCCCATTGTATTTTCAACTGTAATTTTAGTTTTAATTTTTTATTTTATATTTTTTTTTGTCCTCATTTGTCATTGTATGTTCTGTTTTTCTATAACATTTTATGTACGTCTTTTTCAGTCATCTTTTTTGATAAACTGTTTGCAATAATAAATAAAAAAAAAATTTTTTTTATTTCTTTTCAATTGAAATCGCTCTATGCATTTTTTAAGCTGTACAAAAAAAAAAAAGAAGGAGAAATGCAGTATAGAGACTTCCATAAAAAAACTGTGCAATTTGTCTCATTTTTCAACTACTACTCAATCCTAATGCTTTACTCCGGTAACGCCGAGTTGGCGAATAAATTAAAACTATCTCATCAAACTCTTCAACAACAAACTTTTAATAACAGAAGACAAATAAAATTGATCTGAAGAAAACTAACAGCCAGAAAAAAAGAAACAATTTTTTTCTAATTTTCTTTTCTTTCAATTTTCTTTTTTTCTTTTTTCTTTCTCTCCTTTAAGACTTTTTCAATCTAATGCTCAGAGAAAGTGCTTAAAATATGAAAATAGCAAACTGAGATTTCAGACAGTCATTGACAATTATTCTACACTAAAAATTTTTACTGTACAACAAAAGGTCAAAGTGTACAGCAACAAAGTTTAGAATATTTTTAATGTGCTTAAGAGTTGAATGAATTTGATAGCATCGAAAAACTTATACGACAAGAGACAAATCATTTTTTTGAACAATAAGTGCAAAGTTCAAAAAAAACGTACCTCAACCTCTCCCACTGACGAATGTGATTCAGAAATCTTACTTGTTACACCTTTACTTAAATCAAATATGATCCACAACGACCTGTAAGATAATTTATTTGTGTAGTCAGAAATAACATAAATTTGGATGCGTACTGCAGTTGCAGAATGAATGATTCGGCAGTCAGTAAGCATTAACTTTTAAGGACCGTGACGAAACAATGGTGTTTTTACTGCACCATCTAATTATCATGTTTTATGGAACATTTTCAACAATAGCAATATCACCATTTTGGATAACCACTGAACTTCTCAGCGTAGACTGGAAACCGGGTTGTGAAGCTCTATGCGATTGCAAAGATGCTATCTTAAGTATCACTCAAAACAATGTACTTAGTAGTGAGAAAGTCTCTAAACAATGGAATTTTCGCAAATATACCAGAATGGTACGTTAATTTTAGGAAACTTTTTATTATTGAATGAAAGTCCGATTTTATATTTTCAGCTTTCAGTCCCGGTTGTACATTTAATTAATTGTAACTTACCCTTACAAGAGCAAAATTGTTAACAAACCCATCTATCAGGAACTGAACAGTAATATGTTTCATTTTTCTGAGACCAATTATAGCTGAAATGTAAATATTTATTGTTAAAGACCCCTATTACAGCAGCACAGAAGTATGCTGGTTGGTTACTGGACTGAAGGAGAACCAGAGACAGTAACCATGATTGTTGAAATACTGGGTACAGATCCTAATTATGCTTTTCAGCGACTCTGCGATTCATCCCCCACAACGGCCCTATTTCCCATCCGTCATTCTCCAAGTCAAGTATGTTCATGTTATGGTACCGTTACCAGAGTGCAGCAACTAAATTTCTTTTTCTTTAAACCTAGAATAATAGAAATAATGCAAATTTCTAGACTGCTTACGCCTTCAACAACGGCACTGTGGTGGAGGAAACGGAACTGACAGGCTTATGTTTCACTGTAAGAATTGCCTACTCAAAACACATCAAGCAATGTCCATGGTGCGCTTCATCAATTAAATATCGCTCGAAAACGGTAGAGAGTTTTAACATTCAAAAATTTTGAGCCAAGAAAGTTAAAACTACCTGCCATTTTCTTAAAGTTCCGCACGAAGGTTCTCATCATACAAACGAGTTTTCGAAAAGAGCTGCAGTTTCAGGAAATTACAGGCAATCAACGGTTTATAGACCGAAAAAGCGCAGCTTTCCCAGTCACCAAAGAAACTCTTATTGGTGCAGCACTGATCGGTTTCTCAGCGATCCTGTTCCTTACTGTGGCAGCCATTTGTTTTATTTTTGTCTACAGAAACTCGACGAGACCAGCTCCAACTCGGTTTCCAACGATCAATTCAAACAAGTGGGCAAAGATTACCCTTTCAGCAATTACTTAACACAGCTGAGAATACAATGTGCGACAGATGGGGGTAGTGAAAAAAATTGAGCAGAATATAACAAACGCTTTAAAATTAATGTCTTCTCTCTACTTTTCCGCATTATATTTAGTCACAATCCTTACTTTTCGGCACACTATCTTTCATTTACTTTTTACCCTCTGCGAGTAATTCTAATTGCGTCCCCTTCAAAGTCCAAATCCATTTTTTTCTTATATTTGAAACGTTGCAATCATGATCGTAAAAATGCTTATTTTCTCGCAAAATGATTGTTACGAAAAGTAAATTTAGGATTTTGTGATACCGTTGAACAACGCGAAATTAGTGTCGCGTTAGGAAATTTAATGAGGGGTGATCTCACGGCTGTTAGAGTTTAACTGAAAATCGTCTTCGACAAAAAAAATTTTCTTCCTTTAATACACCGCGGTCTGCCAACCATAAAAGCGGTTTTTGCGTAGAAGCAACGTTGTGTACATACCTCTTCGGACGTCTACTGTACAGTTCCCAATTCTTTCCTTCCGATATGGCACCCCTTCGTACGTCTCTATAGAGATAGACTTCCGCATCTTTCTAAAATTTTTCGGTAAAACAATTTGTCAAAAATTCCTTAGCAATTTAGTTTTGAAAAATCTAAACTGAAGCTCTTCTCTTTTCTTTCACTAATGCATTTGCCATGGTTTAATTATAGCAACTGAAGGCAGTAAAGTACTGATAAAACTTAGCTGAAATCTTAGCCGTTTATTAAAAATTATTTGAAGCTTTTCAGACCAAATCAGCTCTCTTCCGAGGTTGAATTTTAGCAGATTTCCAGCAAATCACCCGCCTGTTTCCCACCTATACCTTATACTGAGCATTTACCCTAATTAATCAAAACCGGTTACGTGCTTCTTTGCTTGCAGAAGGGTCGATAATACTCAGTGGAAATGGCACTCCCAGACAAAAGGGAACTCTGTGTTCCCAAGGATAGACCGCTCTAAACGTGCCTCCCTTATGTCGCTGGGAATACACTATGACGACCCTCAAAGTTCTTCAGATGGCTATGTGGCTTTACCTCAATGAGGCATTTCGGAAAAAAGCAAAACAGAGATATCACCCAAGAACAGATACAACCAACTATTGATTGTATACTGTGGTGGACCGATATTTCTATAGTTGAACCACATTTTTGTAATTTGATTGTTCACAGAAGCTTCCTACTTCCATGTATCAACAATGCGGAGTTGAACAACTTGTGTATAGATGTTCTATAGTAGATGTAAAAATGTAATTAATTAATAAATTTTAAATTTGTAACCCAAGTGTCGCTCCTCGTACGCGTTAGTACAATTTCGGTAACTGCTTTTCTGCTTTTAAATAGTAATTCCAACTACCTTCGCCTGCATGAGGTAATGAGAATGTGAAAGCACAAGCAGAAACAAATGTGACTCAAAAAGACTCCGTGAAATTTGTCTTTAATTACAGTTTCAGCTCCTCCTCTGGAGCGTCCAACCTGTCAGACAAGTAACGTAACAAGCGCTTATAGCAGCATTCTGCACGACGCAACCATGTTTTACCAAATTGTGGTTCTTGCTTAATGAAAACAATGTTTTTTATCCGCAGCAATAAAACTTGTTATTCAAGATTAAAAACAATGTGATACATAACCTCTTTTACAACAAAACACAAGCTGTACAATTCCAAAACTGCATTTCTTTTCTGAACCCCAACGATACTAACGGTTCCGGACTCGAAACGCTAAAAAACCATTCCACCCCACCCTTTCCAAAAAATTCAAGTTGGGAATTAAAGTAAACGCCTTTGTCAAAGTACCGAATAACATTTATTTCGACAAAATGTCTCAAGCTCATTCAAATTACATTTTCCTCTTATTAAAAGACCGAAAGTTACTTAGTAACAAATATATTATTTTAGAAACCGACTTAGAAAGATCTAAGCCTTAAAACATTTAGTGCTCAAAGCCAAAAATCAATGGTTAGAAAGTACAAAGCCCCAGAGAAAACTCACAAAACAATTATTTTATACACTAGAATACAAAACATTTCTCCTCTAAGTTACTTCAGAGGTTTAAAAAACCTAGCACATATTTGAAGACTAACACATTTCAAGCTAGATAGAGAAAAGCTAATCAGTGAATTGGAAAACAATGCTACCTGCAAGTTTTGTAGGATCTGCTCAAATTTTCTAATTTCTTGTTAAAAACAATAATTCAGCACCCGTTTTCTACAAAACTTCGCTTGCTTACCACAATTTACAACAGAAGAATTTGATAGATAAAAAGCACATTTGGCCACTATTTAAAAAAATTTTCAAAACGTTCTTAATACCTTTTATAACAAGAAGATAGCTTCGAATACTAAAAAACTACTTTTAGAGGTACACAAAAAGAGCAATTCACCTAGATATTTTAAACTCCCACTTATTCACAGTTCCAGCAATTTTTCAGTTTCAAACTCCAAATATAAGACTTTTTCTAGCTATACTACAATAAACCTTCCCGAAAAACTTCAATTTAAAGCTTATTTTATACCACAAAGCAAAAGATTCAATTTTGAAACAGATTGACAACTCCATTGAACGAAAAGAAAAAAAAAAAGAATTACAGCAAAATTACAGCAAGTTTTGCAGCTATAGGAGGCAGAAGGAACAAAATCACGTTTCCAAAACGTTGCTAAGCGCTAACATCAAGCAGGCATATCCTCTTCTTCATAACCCTCTTTTGATTTTAAAAGGTCACAAAACTTAGACGAATTAAATCTACTTGAACAACGATTATAAATTTGTTCTTTATTTCTAGGTACCGCTCTGACATCAACTGCTTCTTCTGCTGCAGCGGTTTGCTCAAGTATCTGGGACATCGTTTCAGCTGGAGTCAAGTCTTGACGACAGGTCGTGATAGTTTCCAGGGTACTAGGGAAGACCCTTTGGTAAGCAATGTCAGATTTTTTGGACAAGTGGTAAGGTCTCAAAGGTACAGATGCGCCCTTTTCAATACGATACGTAATCAAAGACCTACGGTGGGTTCCGTCTAACAAATGAGCCGACCAAATTACTTTTATTACACTTCTATACGGGACTGCATAGGCGTGATTATATTGCCTCCGCTCAATGAATGAGTCTGCAGCCTCTTTTTCTGTAGTACATAAAATGCCATCCTTAAAATAATAATTCCTTTTCTTCATATGAATAGCCTTCGAGTTCCAGCAGCCTGTAAGTTTATGAATTTGTTTGTAAAAGAAAATTACTTTAATCTTTAAAAAGAGGACGAATCTGATTTACTCCATATATCGTGTAAAGAAATGTAAAAATTAAGTAAAAAAATCCGCAAAAGTGAGATGATCAAAAACAGCTAAATAATAAATTAGAATAAGTATTTCAAACCTAAATTGTCCACTGGAAGGTCACTGATTGGGACCGATTCAGAAATCAAAAAAGAAAGCTCTTTGGCGCTGCCGTCCAGATCTACTACCGGTACATTTTTACACACTGTATTAGAACAGCTGAAAAAAAAAGAAGCGTTCTGCAGAAAAACTAAATGTCTCTTGCTGAAAACAAAATACAGCATCAGAAATAACCAATAACAATTAAAAATAATTAACAATCCTTTGGCAAAAAAAAAAAAAAAAACGATTTTCATATATAATTCAAAAAAACTGTTCAGGAGCTTGAATCATCGAGGAGCAAAGAAAACTTCGGAGCAGCTTAAAAGAAGAAGAATCTACACCACACTCAACACTTTGATCAAGTGATATATTCGCTTTCCAACTAATATTACGAAGGCAAAAAAAGCACTACAAAAAGAAGAAAGAGAACCTGTCATCACTAAATAAGGCATGGACTGGTAATTTCCTAACATCATTATGGTAACACCGCTCATAAATTGGAAATCCGCATTCGAATTCTGTTTTATCAGAACTAAAAAAACTGAAATAAAAATTAAAGCTGAACTGTCAACGCATTCATAGGATTCATTTCACTTATCTTCTACTGCAAATCTGAAGCGACAATCAATCAGCAGTGACTGGGTCTAAATTGCACAAACCTATTGTTAGGAAGCAGTATTTATAAGGTGAATTTCTCGGTTAACAAATCAAAATAGCTTTTGTCAAAAAATCTTGCTAAATCACCTCTCACATGATAAAGCAATCTAAAGCCAACTAAAATTCGTAGACAAACAGCTGACACCTCCAAAAGAATAATTTTTATTCCTAGAAAGACAGAATAATGTTCCACCACAACAGAATTAAATATAGCTCTCATAAATGAACGATAAAAACCTAATTTTCTCCATTCTAGCAAATGCGTTTAGCTAACAATTGCTGTTAAGTACCAAAAAGGCAAAAATTACAAAGTTTAGCAATTCTAACGGAAATTTCTACCACAAAAAAGGGCTTGTTACGGTAAACTATAATATCCTAACATCATCAGCAAAGCAATTTGCAGTCAAATTCTGTTTTTACAAATCCCAGTTTCAAAAAGATAAAAGTCAGAAAAGTTCATCCAATAAAAATCCCACTCGCCAAATATCCACTGTCTTAAGTACAACTTACTGCATTCTAATTAGTCAAGTTACAAATATAAAAATATCACAGTAACTCATCATTCATTAAGCAAAAGTAACTAACCTCGAATTTGCTGCGGTTGCACCTAGAAGAGCTGCCTGTGAAACATCGATTAGTGCAGCGGATGCATCCATGAATGCCAATGCATCATCTTTTTTATCCTGTCCAACTTTCCCAAATAAAAACTGTGATGTACTTGTAATATTTGCTGTTGTACCGAAGGAAAATGTTAAGGGAATACCCTCAGTATCCGCATCAGGGAACGAAACAGACGCGGCTGTTTGCTTCGCTATCTTGCTTAAAAGCAAATCAACACCGGAGTCTGATACGACTGTGTCAAAATCAGTACCATTTCGCTGCTAAACATAGTTCCTTTTTTACACAAATATAAAATGGAAAGTGTGAAAAGACTTTAAATTATACTACAACCAAGCGAGTACCAATCTAAAACGATTTTGCTATAACGAACAAAAAGAGGTGTATAGGAAAAAAATAAATATATATTGCTGACTTACACGGGGGCTGGACTGAACAATATTAAATCTAGCGTCATCGCCAACACCCTCCAGAGCCTGTTCCACTAAGCAATCTAAAACTTTAACTACCAGAACACTATGAAGTTTGAATTGATAAAATTGTGCGCGAAGAATGTACAGTCAAAACATTGGCCGAAAAAGACAAAATGAATTGGCATATCCGATCTTCAATCGACTGGAAAAAAACTCACCAACACCATTCTCCGTAGGATTAGAAACGTCTTTTGAACTGGATGCTTCATCATAAACGGAATCTGTCTCGGTCTGCAGAACAGATGTATGCTTAGACATTAGAATATTCAACTGAGAAGACAATCTTTCTGGAAATCCTTCAATGGCCGTTTCCTTGGACTTTTTATCAGCAGAGCGATCACGGTCATTGCCTTTCCGCTTCCTTGAATGCATGGATACCTTGACAGAGCGTGCTTTCCCGCCTTTCTCAAAACTTTTGCCGTCGCGCATCGCATTCAAACTTCCCAAGTATTTGAGGTAATCAAGCACATATAACGTCTAAAAAACAGCGGTATATCTCAACTAAAAATATTGCAGCAAAGCAAAACTAGATACAAGTCCAGCATTGCTCACTTCCAAAAGTGAAACAAACACTAAGCAACTTAATAAGTAAATCCCCAAACAGCATTCAAGATGTTGCTGTTTTCTGTTATTTGAGTTGATTTCTACTCGTTAAGGAAGCAAATATTCAACTGGAAAAAAATTGCCTTAAAAAGTACAGTTTTTTGGAAACTCCAAACAGTTTATAAAAGTGGCAAAAAGTAAAATTTTATGGCAAAAAAGCAAAGCAAATTTTCACTGTGAATTTCAAAAAGTAGTCAGATAACAATAAAATATCTCCAATACCCAAACACGTTTTTAAAAAAGAATAATAATAAGTGTAAAAATGCGACTTAAAAAACAAGAAACCCGTGAATAGTAACTTAATTATTTCTCTTTTCGTTTACAAAGCCTTAATAAAAAGCAAAACTTCAACCACCAATATCTTCAAAGATAATGACCTCAGATTTTTTAAAAAATGACACTTACCAAATCTGCATCCGGTGTGTCTTTCACGCGACCTTCTATTGCGCGGAGGAAAGCACGATTCAGTAAGATTAGTTTATCAATAAACATCCTTTCATCAGTGTAATTAGCTGCTAGTCAGCAACCAAGATGAATAAAGTACGATGACCGGACACGAAGCTTGTATGACAATAACAGTTCAAAGCGAAAAAAAAAAAAAGAACAGAACGTCCCAGTAAATACTGCTGAAATTGGAATTGAAATAGAAAGTTACATATACACATATCCCAAAGTACGCGCAAAATCGCTATCACGTACAAACAAGAATGTTACACATGACTACAGTTCATACCTCAACTTTCTTTCCCTCATATCCTTTCAAAACTTATTTTTTCTCTAAAATGGTCTTCCTTACAATGTGTAAATCTTGGGCGGACTTCCAAGCATTAAATACTTAAACCTGATAAATTAGGAACATAATATGTACGTCTGAAATATAATTTAAACAATTAATACAGTAAAAAACTTTAGTAAATCTAGTAAACGTTGTACAATTTTCAAAAAAATGAAATTATTGGCAATTAAAAACGAACAAATAAGAGTGTAAAGAAAGCAAAGATTACTTTATTTCCAAAAAAAAACTTTTTATTACATTCTTCTGCCAACTTGTAATTGAGACATTGATATTTGAACTCGTAATTCGCGAATGTCTTTATTCAGACAAAAAAGTAAACCCGGAGAAAGGAAATACTGCTGCAATTGCAAACTAAAGTTTTTTTTTTAAATCAGAAACAGAAGAAAACAACAGAGAAAAAGGGCCCAGTAAAGAATCCCCAACAAAATTTTTGTAACTGCTAAAGTTCTTGTGTTCTGCTTTCAGTCCTATAAACATTACAAATTCCATAATAAAACTCAGGTAAAAAGGATTAGACAAAATTGTAAATAAATGCAAGCACGAAGGGTCACTGCATATCATGGGCAATTTTTTGGCTGGTGCCAGTCAACTTTTGGAACGATGCCAACGGATGCCTCCATCTAACAATGCAGAGACTTAAAACAACTGCAACCGCGATCTCTGACCAGCACACAGCTTAAGCCCATTTGGCCCTCGAATGACCCAAACCAGCAAGCAATGCGGATCGGCTGCACCACGAATTCTCTTTAACGAGCAGTAGAGCTACAAGGCTAGGTGAGATTCTAAGACGGTAAGGAACAGCTTACAGATTCTCCCGTCGGATCCACCTTATGGTACCTCAATGGCTGCAGAAAAACTTTTTCATTGGCAAAATTCCATAAAGGCAAAATCAAGTCAACCCACATCCAATTGCCGGTCAGCTTTTCCTACTATTTCGACTCGTATCACAATTTTAACTTTTCACTTCTCATTCAGTACCGCTCTATGAATGCTGAAAAAATTTTTCAACAATTTCCTGCCTGCTTTTACTCTGATCTATAATAGGTCTATACTCAACCCTACAGAATTAACTTCAACGGGAGTTAATTTATTTGATAAAATACTTGATTATTGTATATCGTTAAGCCGAGGTAGGTTATCAGCAAATGCTGCACAATATATGACGTCTCCAGTTTCCTTCTCCGATAGGTAGCATTATGAGGAACTACTCTTGAGAGTATATATAAACTCCAAATTTTTTTCTGTTCTGACAGGACGAAGAATTCCAGTGCGAGAAAAAAGTAGTTCTTTCATTTAAAAAAAATGTAAATTTCGATTTTTTGATAGTAAGCATGACTTACTGTGAAAACGAAGCAGAACTTAATTGTGATCAAAGCCAAAGGCAGAAAACACTCATTATAACCATTATTAATCACTCATTATCGTATGAATACATAAGAAAATAATGTCCTGGTATAAATTTGAAAGATGAAAGTTGCACATGAAAAAAGCGCAAAACTGCCTTTTGTTCAGCGTTATAATAAAAAGCAACAGACGTGTAAATCAAGTTTGGTTAAAGAGCGAGAAATTTACTGTCCTCAGATTTGAACCCCTGAAAGTTTAGAAATCATTTTCGTTTTCGATTTCCTTCAAAAAACACCCTTATCATTTAAAGACCGCTGCTTCTACGGATACCCTCTTCGCAGTTTATTTTTCATACTTTTTACTAATTACCGGTTTAAAATCCAACTGCTTCGAAGCTTTCCCAGGTACAATTTGGCCATTTTTCAATGCCAGGGAAGTTCTTCACGTTCAAGACAGCATTTGTCAAAATCATCTTCCACTAGAGGTCTTCTGATCTTCTATTCCGCTTCACGAACTGTAAGTTAGCTTCCATTAACCATAAATTCCGCAAGGCAGAAGAGTTACCCGCTAGTTTTTTCTTACTAAAAAAACCTTAACATTTTGTTTCTGAGCACTTGCTGATCGCTTCGTCCTGCCTTTCTTTGCCTGAAAATGAACGACTTCTTACAAAATGATACTGCTTACGAAAATCATTCAAGAATATTCCGATCAATTTTTTTATAAAGCGCATAAGGAAAGAGAAAGAATACAAAATACACCTACCATAAGCTTCTTTCGAGTGTTCATGATATTTCGTCCAAATATGAAGGCTTCAGGGTCCTGAAAGAGCTACAAAAACGGCAGATCCACCCGCTGCTGTCTATAATTCGGAAACGAAGAAGTTCCAAATAAAGTCCTCAACACATGAAATGCTGTGAACACCAGATGGCCGGCGGGGGTCATGAAATGATTACGGAAACGGAATAACACAAGATTCCGGAAACAAAAACGGTCCGGCGAAGTTTCATTGAAGTGGAGTATTGCCAAGGGAAGGAGATTTTCACTGAGAACGCTTGTGTATGTGTGTGTGTGTGTGTGCGTGTGTGTGTGTGTGTGTGTGTGTGTGCGTGTGTGTGTGTATCTATGTGTTTATGTGTGTGTCTGTGTGTGTATATACAGATCTCTGTGTGTGTGTGTGTGCGTGTGTGCGTGTCTGTGTGTGTGTGTGTCTCTCTCTGTATCTGTGTGTGCCTGTGCGTGTGTGCGTGCGTGTTTGTGAGTGTGCGGTTGTGTGTGAGTGAGTGAGTGAGTGAGTGTTTGTGTGTGTGTGTGTGTGTGTGTGTGTGTGTGTTAGTAAGTGTGTGTTGGTAGTGAATGAGTGTGTGTCTGTGAGAAGGTGTTTGTCAGTGTCTATGTTACTAGCCGTATGTGGTGTTGAGTGCGTGTTTGTGTGTCACTGTGTGTTTGTGTGTGTGGGTCTGTGTCTGTGTGTGTGTTTGTGTGTCAACGTGTTTGCGTGCGTGTCAGTGTGTACATATATAATCATGTATATATATGCATCTGTGTGTCTGTTTGAGTGTGTGCGTGCGTGTGTATGTGTCCGTGTGTATATGCATATACATCATGTTTCTGCTTTTGTGCACATGTGTGTATGTGTTTGAGCATGGAAAAACACTAAGATACTGGGGAAATGAGTGCGGTTATTTTAAGATAAAAAATGTTGTAAAAACAGGTGAATTTTAAACGTTCACTGGTGAAAACGGTGAGTGGGAAAACTGCCGTTGTCCCGCAAAGGTAGAAGAATGAATGACACTTCATTTTTTCAAAATTAATTGCGTTTAGCCCCAACTCTGTAGTGATGTAAATTAATAAAGAAGGAAAAATGGGGAAAACAAATATGTATGATAAATTTTTATAAAAGGACATAAATATAAATATGAATATAATTATAGATACAAGTATAAATAAGTAAACAGACAAATAAACAAATAATTGAATAAATAAAAAAGTAAATAAATATATAAATATATATAAATATATATATATATATATATAAATATATATATATAT